AACAGTTTAGGTTCAGGTTCTACCAGAACCGTCTCTGACCCTCTGCTCTCTGACCTCCAGGTTCTGCTGCTGTTCTCAGGCGGTTCTGCTCGCTGGTTTCCGGTTCTCCAGTCTGGATGTTTCTACAGACTCACAGCCGCCAACACTCAGGTACAGAACGTGTGATGATGTCACAGACATTCCCACAGAACCGGTACTAGTCCAAACTATGGAGCTGAATCTGTCTCAATTTTCACAAGTACACACGTGATGCACACGCACAGCACATGATTCACCAAAGTATTTCTGCTCCATAAACAATTATAAATTAAATTACAAAGTACCAGTGGTCTTTAAACTTCACTTCATCTGCGTGTGGATTTTTCACTCTGCTGGCCAACCTTGGTACACAAATGCATTTTTTTAAACGGGATGGCTTGCAGCCAATCATAGAGCTCCTTTGTTTAAGCCAATCACAAGAAAGTAATCAACGTGGGATGATTCTTTGCTCCGCTGCTGTCTGATGTTCTGTCAGCTCAGCATACGGCGTCAGGCCAGCATACCCTCAGTAATACACATTGTCTCTGCCCTCCCTACATCCCAGCACGCTGTTTTATTTCCCGATTTACTCAGAAAACAACAAAAAAAATATTATTCACCCGGTTGTTTGGACACATTAGGTTTTAAAAACAGGCATTTCCTGTCCGTTAGAGGAGGATCTAATAAAGAATGATCTGCACTTTTTCACAGAGAATTAAATATTTATATAGAGAGGATTCTACAACACAGTTGAGAGGACATGAGATTTTTTTTTTGTTAGTTTGTTTAATATGAGTGAGATGCAGATCATTTTATTTGTATTTATTTATTTTTGCAGCACATGAAGAACTACTGAAATTATTTCAAATTGCACATAAATAGATTAATCAATTTCATGGGGTGAAAGGAATGACTTTAGGGTTAGGATTCATGAAATCCTATTCATGGAAATATTATCTGACACATAGAAGAATTGTTGTTGCCATGGATACCAGAGAAGTTTCCAACCTGTGCTTCTGATCAGCAGGATCCCAGCGTTCTGATTGGCTGCAGGGTTCATAGCAAGAAAGGGGTGGAGCTCCACGCTGACTCCACCCTGCAGGTTCAACCTGACTGGAGGTTCTACACTCTGACCCGCCCTCTGCTGCTCCCCACCTGGACCCAGGTAACCTGACACTAGATCCAGAACCAGAACCATGGACTCCGTTTGACTGAATGATCTACTGATCCTCTGCCTCCCCAGGCCCCGCCCCCTCCAGTGATGTCAGTGTCTCAGGTGCTGGACTGCAGGTAATCATCCGCCTCTGTCTCCCTCTGTGGCTGCCAGAGGAACTGCAGCTGAATGGTGCTGTGTTTCAGGTCAGAGACGGTGACCTTCATGGGCTTGATCTCCGATAGGCTGAGTCTGATGGATGGGAAGGAACACGCTGGACCCAGAACCTCAGGTAGAACCACCTAAACCTCGGGTAGAACCATTAAAACCTCTGGTAGAGACATTGAAACCTCGCGTAGAACCATTGAAACCTCGCGTAGAACAATTGAAACCTCTGGTAGAACCATTGAAACCTCGCGTAGAACCATTGAAACCTCGCGTAGAACAATTGAAACCTCGCGTAGAACCATTGAAACCTCGCGTAGAACCATTGAAACCTCGCGTAGAACCATTGAAACCTCGCGTAGAACCATTGAAACCTCGCGTAGANATGTTGACACTGGTGTTTTGTGGGTACTATTTAATGAAGATGCCAGTTGGGGACCTGCGAGGTGTCTGTTTCTCAAACTAGAGACTCTAATATCTTCTTGCTCAGTTGTGCAATGCGGCCTCCCAAT